GTTCCTCTAGTTTGGTACTCTCTGTGCTTCCTGGACTTGTCCTACCAGGTAGGGTGAAAGAAATAGACTTCCTGTGTTATTTTTTCAAATAGGTTTTCAATTTCTTGCTCTCTCTCTTCTCCTTCTGGCACCCCCATAATGTGAATGTTGGGCTGCTTGATGTCGTCCCAGAGACTCCATACAATATCTTCATATTTCTGGATTTTTTTTTCCTTTTTGCTCTTCTGGTTGGGATTTCGCTTCCTCATATTCTAATTTGCTGATTTGATTCTTGGTGTCCTCTACTCTACTGTTCATTCCCTGTAAATTATTCTTCATTTCAGTTCATGTGGCCTTCCTTCCTTATTGTTACTTTATTATGTCATTGATGATCTCGCTAGTTTCCTTAACAGTCTTACTAAGATCCTTAAGCATCTTTATAAACATTGTTTTGAACTCTGTATCTAGTAGCTTGTTTGGCTCCATTTCATTTAGTTCATTTTCTGAAGATTTCTTCTGTTCTTTCATTTGTGACATGTTTCTTTGCCTCTGCATTTTGGCTGCTTCCTGGTTTTTGTTTCTATGTATTAGGATGAGCTGCTATGTCTCCTGGACTGTGTACAGTGGTCTTGTGTAGTAGGTGTCCTATAGGGTCCATTGGCTCAGCCTCCCCAGTACCTGAGCTGGGCCTTCTAGGTGCTCCCGTGTGGGCTGTGTGCCCTGTTGTAGATGAGGCTTTGTTGCTCTTGGCATCACTGGGAGGAACTGACGACCAGGCCAATCAGCTGTGAGAACCAGCTGCAACTACAGCTAAAGAGCTTCTGTGCTGGAGACACCCCTATGGAGCAGGATTTACTTCAATGGGGCTTTGGTGTGCACCGAGCCCACCCCTTAAATGTGTTACTCATGGATGTGGTAGGGTTGTAATCCAGCGTGGTTGAAGCTCCACTGGGTGCACTATCTCTGGGGCCTCCTGGGAGGTGCAAAGTTAGCCACTGCCTGTGCCCTGCCCAGGGCCACCTAGGATGAGCAACACAGCAATCCACAAATGGATGCTACTTGTGTTGGGTTCAGAGGTGCTCAGGAGAAGCCAAGCTATGAACCAATGCAGGCTACCATTAGTGCCACTTATCAAGAGGTATTGGCATGCTGAGGCCAGCTACTTGTTTGAGAGATGTGAGGAAAGTACTAAGCCTGAGGCAAGAGAGGCCACTTGTAAAGAAAAGCCACTGGAAATGGCTTGGATGAGCCTGCAAGTAAGGAGAGATAGGGTCTCAGGGAATCACCAGGGCTAGGCAAAAGATGAGTCAGGCTGATGGGTATTCAGGTGTGGTACCTGCCTGCTAGCTCTATGAGGGGAGGGCTCATTAAAGGAGCAATGCCTCTGCCAGCTCTTCTGTCTGGGAGAAAGCCGCCCCTCCAGCTCTCACCCTGATTCCAGGTAAGTTAGTTCCTCTCCAAATATCCCAGGTTCCTTTCAAGCTGCTGCCCAGAGTTGGAGCTCAGAGGGAGTGAGTCCGAGTGAGTCCACACACCGGCCCTTTAAGAAGAACTGCCTGGGACTGCAGTAGCTTCAGCCTTTTTCAGCCACAATCCCCACTGGTGTTTACAGCCAGAAGTTGTGGGGACAACTCTTCTCGGCACTGGAACCCTAGGCTGGGGGTCCTGATGTGGGGCTAGGACGCCCTGCTTCTCCGGGAAACCTCCGCTTCTGAGATAACCCTCTCAGTTTTTAACCGCTGCACCTGGGAGTGGGACTGCAGCTACGTATTTGCGATTCCGCCAGACTCCGCCCATCTCCACCCCTCCTATCCTTCTCCTGTGTTTCTTCTTTAATTCCCTAGTTGTAGGACTTCTGTTCAGCTAGATTTCAAGAGGTTCTCAATGATAGTTGCTTTGTATTTTATTTTTAATTTTGATGTGGTTGTGGGAGGCGGCTGGTACCACGGTTACCTATGCCACCATCTTGTTGTCCCTAAAATCTGGCATTCTTTTAAATCCCCTGGAAGTTATTTCAGCCTTTGGGTACAGGCTTGTAACAATGGGGGAGGTGCAAAGACAATGGCCTCTGCCTCTTTGTCTACACCTATGTAATCAGAAGCAGCTATCAAGAGCACAGATGCCCAATATTTGATCACAGAGTCTTTTTTGCCCACTCTGGCTCCCACAAGTTGTGTGTAAGCTGTTTTAGGAATGAGTTCACAGCTGCCTACTTCAGGGCTGGGGTGGGGGCTAGGTAGCTGCTACGGTGCTCAGAGCTAAAATCTATCTAAATTAACTGCAAGTTACTATCCAAGCCTTCCCCTGAAGTTGCAAACCTTCAATCAAATCCAGAGCTACAAAGCAGTTACACAGAGAGAACCTGTCAGTACAACTGCTGTCTAGGTGGGAAGATCGATTTCTGGTGCTCCCCACTATATTCTCTCCCCAGAATCCTCTGGTCAGTTGATTTTTGACAAAGGTACCAAGTCAATTATATGGAAAAAGGGCAATCTTTTTAATACATGCTGCTGGAAGAATTAGACAGTCGTATGCAGAAAAATCATCCTGAAAACTTTACCTCACAGAATACACAAAATTAATTGGAAATGGATAATAAATCTAAAAGTTAAAAATATAAACCTTCAAAAAAGAAAACGTAGACAAAAAAATCATCAATTTCACAGATCTCTCATTTATAATTAAAAAAAAATCAAGAATTACAAAAGAATACATTTAATCAACATTTAAAACTTTTGCTCTTTATAAGATACTGAAAGTTTTTAATGCATACAATATGTGATAGATACCAAAAAAAAAGAAAGAAATTCAGATGGCAAATAAGCCTATGAAAAGATGCCCAACATCATTAGTCACTTAGTGAAATGCAAATTATAATCACAACGATACCACAACATATCCACTAGAATGGCTCAAGTTTAAGTGACTGACCAAACCAACCATACCAAGTGTTGGTGAAAATGTGGAGCAACTGGAACTTTAATACACGGCTAGTGGGAAGGTAAAGTGGTAACCAGTTTGGAAAATAGTTTGGCAGTTTCTTAAAGAGTTAAACATACACCAATCATATGATTCAGACATTCTACTCCCAGGTATTTGTCTACACCAGCCTCAAAAAAAATGTTCACATCTTTTTATGATATATAAATCTGGTTACATACCAAATGTTAATTAACAGGCGAGTGGATAAACAAGTTTTAGTACATTCATACAAATAAATACTAGTCAGCATTAAAAAAAATAAACTATCGATACATGCAACATAGGTGAACCTCAAAATTATGCTGAAAGAAGCTGGAGAAAAACAAACATAATGTATGATTCTATTTAAATAATATTCCTGAAAATGCAAACTAATGTACAGTGAGAGCAGATTAGTGGTGGCCTAGAGACAGGGAGGGAATGAAAGGGGCCTGAGAAAACTTTTAGCAGTAATAGATACGTCTATGGCCTTAATCGTGTTGATGATTCCTTGGAAGTTCACATATATCAAAATTTATCAAACTCTACACTTTAAATATGTGCAACTTACTGTAAATCAATTATACCTCAACAAAGCTTTAAAAAAACCCAACAGCCCGGCCGGGCGTGTCTCAGCGGTTGAGCGTCGACCTAGGATCCAGGCAATCGGGGTTCGATTCCCGGTCAGGGCACATGCCCGAGTTGCGGGCTCGATCAATGACTCTCATCAGTGATGTTTCTATCTCTCTCCCTCCCCTTTCCTCTCTCTGAAATCAATAAAGATATATTTAAAAAATTAAATTAATTAAAAAAAATAAAATAAAAATAAAAATTAAAAAAACCAACAAATAAGATAATGAAAGTTTAAATAAAAGAACAAAGACTAAGGAACTAAGAAAAGATACAAGAAGGTAACTAGAAAAAAAAACAGGCACAAATATTTCTAAATAACAAAAGACGTATATATACAACTAAGCAACTTTTTAAACTAGCATCATACCAACAGTTAATGATTTAGAACTACAGTCCTGGAAGGGTGCCTGGGGGACCTGGGACACTTCCAAGGAGTCCACAGTGTCACAATATTTTAATAAGAGTAGTAAGATGTTCTTTGCCTTTTTAATTCAAATTCTGTCATGAGGATACAGTGGAGTTTTCCACAGGACGCATGACATATATCGCAGATTAAATGCATACACAGATATTGAGAATTCAGCTGGATTCCACCTCGTTCCAAATGAATTCCCATTATCTGTTGCTGCATATTACAATAAATCAAATATTAGAAAAACTCACAAAACTATAAAAAATACCACTTGTCACTATTTTTTGTTTGGGAATATTATTTTTCATTAAAAATATTGTTGATGTTGATATGTAACGGGTTTGTTATTTTTAAATAAAATAATAAGTGAACACAGTATTTGTTGAATTTCTGTTTTAATTTCTAATAGGGCACATATCGCTAGATAAAACCCACATGAACAAGAATTCTTCGGGGTCCTCAGTTTGATAAGCACTGCTGTTAATCTATCATCACTGCTCCCCACAAGCTCCTCAGGGTTGGTTGACCACCCTAAGGGAGGGATTCTGCCATCTACACTGTTATCCTCAACCTGCAGTCTGCAGCCTGCTGCTGGTCCACAAACTATTCCTGGCTCATAATAAGTACAGAAATTGAGAGAAAACTTTTAGGAATATTTACAACAGTTTTACGCCGATACTCAATTAAGTGCATATGGGCTTGTATTTCATAAGTCCTTGGCTTTGTTCATTTCATTTTTCTAGTTGTTTGTTAGTATTATATTTTACAGAAGTGTCATATGAAACATTTTAGAAATGTTTAGAAGTGGTCCTTCACCACAGATACATTGAGAAACATTGAAATATAATTAAACAGCCACTGGGATAATCCTTAAAGCAAAATACTTCAACAGACACTATTTCCCCATGATTAAGACACTCCAGAGAGCTTCCCCTCTGTACACAGCTTCTAATATAAATATCAAAGCATCACCCTTAAAATGGAAATTGGTAATGATAAAGAAAATCATACATACCCTCTTCAGTGAAGAATTTTTCTATGGGTCCCACAAACTGATTGATTTCATTAAGTTCATCTTGGCTAACTTCTGGAAACGGGAAAACTTCTTTCTAAAAATGATAAATACTCAGTAAAAACTCATTTTTAGCAACTTTCCATAGTTGTAATATCAGTCAAAAAGGAAGGAAACAGACTTGCTAGGTTCCATATCTGATAGGCAGGACATAACTAACTGAAGGAACAAGAAAGCAAACCACAGAAGGTGCTTAGGACACGGGAACTGCGCATTAGTCTCCACCACCAGAAAAGTCCTCCTCCCGACTCGGCAGGTTTACAGTGACTTTGACTGTTTTCCTCATCAGTAACAAGTTATGATGATGTTCCCATGAAACAAAGAGGCCTGCCTAAAATTTCAAAGCCCTGGGTTCTGTTACTTGATCTGCAGCTTACTAACTGTGTGGCCTTCACCAAATCTCTACCTCTCTATACTTCTATTTTCTCATCTGTAATACGCAGGTACTATTTACTCAATGCCATTGTGAGAATCATGGAAGAGAGTTGGTATGAAAGCTCTTTACTAAAATGTAAATTTTACATTAGTTATTTTGTGAGCTCAAAGATGCTGCAGCTGACATGAGTATAGTGTGGTTACAAGATCTGACATCTTGTCAGGTTACCATCTAGTTGCATATTCCAGCCTCCACTCCTCCTGCTCGATGACAGCTGTTACCTGAACTGAATATGCAAGGTAACAGGGTCACTGAAGGAGGCACAGACATTGAGCCAGATCAACCTTAACTCAACCCTGGCTCTGCCACTTCTTAGATGTACAATTTGGATATGTCACACAACCTTTGTTAGTGTGAGCTGTGAGGCTCAAACCAGATAATGTGTCCTAGAAAATAAAGTAATTGTAATTGTATGTGTCAGATACTGGCTCTTGCCTTGACCTCATACCTGGAAAAGAAATTAGCTTCAATTCTCTGTCTCAAATCAATGAGTGGCCAATATTTCTGGCTGGCCCAGGATTCCCCACTGGGCCATCACTATATGTTTACCTAAAATCATCCTATTGTGTCCATAGACCTTCAGGCTTTTTGGGCTCCAGATATTCCTGCCAGCATGACATGAGTATTCGGATCTGGATCTGCAGCTGCTAAGAAGTGATGTTCCAGATGACAGGCTGCTAGCTCCCAGAAGCCCTGCCTCTCCTCATGGCACCTCTCATCCAGTGTCTCCAGACAAGGTCTTCAAAGCAAAGGAATCTTCATTCTTCCCCCTCCAGCCCTTGAATATCTAATCAGCCACAAAACATTGCCGAGTCTAGTAACATGCTCCCAAATCTGTTTTCTCCTCTCAGGCCCCATGACTACAGGTTTGTATGTGGGAGCCTACCCAAAAGTGAGAACTGACTTAAAGGAACTCCTGCCTCCAGGCCCCCTGACCCTGCCCTCAAGACTGTTTAGAAAAAAAATATGCTAACTCTACTTACTTTGCAGCCTCACAAAACAAAGCCAGCCCCTTAGCTGAATATACAGAGTCTCAACCCACTGTACTTGCCTTCACAGCCTCATGGGTTCACCTGAGCCTTGAGCAATGAGCTGAGTTAGAAGAAGATTATAAGGTTATTCTGGTACTAGTGAGCACTCCAGATGAGAAAAGAGAACAGCCTGGGAACTAGTTGGCCCTCAAATACAACCAAATGATAACTTCTACAAGAAAAGAGATCACAAGTGGTTGTAAAAGGAAATCTCTGATATCAATGTTCAAAAACTGAATGAGGTGCCTTATGGGTGCTGGGTTTAATTTCCAACAGCAGTTTTCAAATTTTTAAAGCAGTAAAACATGTTTTTCAACTAAATTTAGTACAAAAACCAAACATGTAAAACAGATGTTTATCTGTAAAACAGATAAAACCTGCTCTGGTTGAAACTGCAGATGGGGAGAAAGGTCACCCAAATGTCTCCCGCTCAAATTCCCACTGGTCCCAGCAGTAGCCCGAGGGGCACTTCCATGAATAGTGAAGGTCCAACTGAGGGCAGTGTGACAACAACTGATCTAGATGACATCAAAAGTCTCTTTCTATTCTCAGATTCTAAGCAGCTCAGATACCATGTTCCTGCTCAAACCCCAATAATGCTGTGAGAGATGATGTTGACCTAAATCAGGACAATGGTGGTAAATGTACTTAAAAGTGGTCGGATTCTAAATATAATCTGAAGGTAGAGAAGAATAAGATTTGTTGTCAGATTAGTTGTGGATTATGAGAGTAAGAAGCATCAAAGGTGACTCCAGGTATATGGCCTGAAAAAGTTGAACAACAGAGTCTCCACCATCTATGATTAAGAAGACTGGTAGCAGGAGCGGGACTGGGTAGGGAGAACAGTAACTTAGTTTTGCATATATTAAATTTGAGATGCCTATTAGACATCTAAGTGAAGTTTTAATAGAAAGGTAGACATAAAAGGAGTTTGGAATTCAGAGGAGAAATCTGAACTGGAGAAATAAATACGTGACATCAGGATATTGGTAGTATTTAAAGCAGCAATAATGAATTAGGTCATCCAAGGTAGGATCGTACATGAAAAGATCTACAGGCTGAGTCTTAGAGAACTCCAGCTCTGGCAGCTACCATTACTGGAAGGAGAACAAAGCCATAAATGCACAAACCAGCCTCCCCTAGTCCACTCACCCTCACACATCACAGCAGAGCCTGACAGAGGCATCTGAGAGACCTCAGATAGGACAACACTACTGTTAGCATCTAGTTACAAGAGGAAGTGCTAGGTTCTTGAGGGCACAGAACCACATCACCTACCATACTCCCACATAGGAATGGTGCCCTGTAACTGAGGCAACCTGATTACAAAGGGGATCTTCCCACATCACCAGAAAATGCAGAGCATTTTCCATGGCCTAGTCAAAACCACCCCTAAAGAGATCGTTGAAGCCCTAAATATACTACTAAGAGAAAATGAAAACTTGCACTTCGGTGATACCCACTGGAAAAGAAAAGAAAAATTTCTTATTATCAACCAGCTAAACACACAAGTGTCAAACACATTTTTAAAAAGCAGATTTCATTCCCACATATGTCTAGGCAGAGAAGTGATTCATCAAATACCATGAATAACCAAGATAACATGGTAGCTCAAAAAGAAGATGAAAATCTCCAGAAAATAAACTTAAAGACATGGAAATATGTGATTTAAATAACAGAGAATTCAAGATTGCAGTTCTGAAAAAAAAAGTCAACAAGATACATGAAAACGCAAAAAGGGAGTTTAATGAACTCAGAAATAAAAATCAATGAAAAAAGGACTACTTTATCAAAATGATTAAAACTACAGAAAAGAACCAAACAAATTCTGAGGCTGAAAAACTAAATAAAAGAGATGAAGAATAAACTAGCAAGCTGAGGAAATAAAGCTAGCCAGGAGGAGGAAAGAATTAGACATCAAAAATAGAAATACAGAAATGGCTCAGATGATAGAAGAGAAAGATTTATAAAAAATAAAAGAACGCTACAAGAACTACCTGACTCCTTCAGATAGAACAATATAAAAACAATGGGTATACCAGAAGGAAACAGAAGTCTCTCTACCAATGACCTCACTGTGTGACTCCAGGTATGCGATGAAATTTCCAAGTCCTGTCCTTCCCATGCACAGCCAAGCCCAGGAGAGGCAACCACAAACTGTAGATCACTTGTAACTTGAAACGGGTTGTCAAGGGCCAGGGACAGATAGCATCTCACGTTGGCCTGCACCAGAGTCCCTCCCAAGAGGCTGAGAACCAACACACCAAGTGGCCAGCTCCAGACAACATCAAAGAAGAACCCAACAAACTTCACAAACAGAGTATCCAAAAGGGGATAGCAGCAGTACCTGCAGAGAAGCTTGCATGCCATGGTCAGGGTTGAGCCTCTAAAGCAGCCAGCCTGAGGATCAATCCCACGCACAGATTCAATAACAACTGGAGGGCCCACAAAACCCACACAAAGGACATTCCTAGAGCACCCAGCTCAGAAGATCAAGGAGACTGCACCACTAGGTACCACAGGACACCTACTACATAAGGCCACCCCACGAAGACTGGGTGTCATGGCAGATATACTTGATACATAGAAACAAACACAAGGAGGTGGCCAAAATAGGGAGACCAAAAAACAGGCCCCAAATGAAAGAACAGGAGAATTCTCCAAAAACGAGCGAAATAAAATGGAAGCAAGCAATCTATCAGATATAGAGTTCAAAGTAATAGTTATAAGGATGCTCGAGAAACTTAGAGAGAACTACAATAGCATGAAAAAGGACATATAAATCATGAAAAAGAGTTAGTTGGAGTGGAGATGGCCTGGGGGGACAAGGGCAGATGACAGATGGAGGGGCTCAATGGAGGGGGACATCTATAGCACATTCAACAATAAAAATATATATTTTCAAAAAAGTCAGTTAGAAATAAGAAATACCATATCTTACAAAAAGAATAAACTGAAAAAATAGGTAGGTTGAATGAAGCAGAGGATCAAATCAGCGATTTGGAAGACAAGGTAGAAAAAAAAAAACAATCAGACCAGCAAAAACAAAAGTGAATTTTAAAAATGAGGATCGTTTAAGGGAACTTTGGGACAACAAAAGGGTAATAACATCTGCATTAAAGTGGTGACAGAAGAAGAGAGAGACCATTATTTGAAGAAATAATGACAGAAAATTTATCTAACGTGGTGAAGACAAAAGACCCAAAAGTTCGTAAATCGCAGAGTCCCAAACAAGATGAACCCAGAGGCCCACACCAAGATACATCATAATTTAAATGGCAACGGTCAAAGAAAAAGAGAGAATCTTTTTTGTTGTTAATCCTCACCCAAGGATATTTTTTCCATTGATTTTTAGAAAGAGTGGAAGAGACTGAGAAAGAAAATCATCATTGTAAGAAAGACACATCAATTGGTTGGCCCACATGTGCCCGGCCTCAGGCCAGGGATCAAGCCTGCAACCAACGGACATGCCCTTAACCAGGAATTGAACCTAAGACCCTTCAGGTGGCAGGCCAATGCTCTAACCACGGAGCAAAACCGGCTAGGGCCAAAAAGAGAATCTTAAAAGCA